GAGGCGCTTCTCTTTCACCAGGCCGTTCCGCAGCGGCTTCCTGGGGACCAGAACGCAGCGCGATTAGCCTGGGCCAGCGTCCCGCGTGAGACCCGGCCCATCCGGCTGCCCCCCAGTCCCTTCACCCGGCCCCCCGTGCCCGCGGGCACCTCCCCCTGCACCTCAGCACCCGCCTGAGCCCGGCCCGGGCGAGCTTTGACAACGCGCACCACCCCGCGCGGTGTCCGCCTGGAGCTCCCCAAGGACACTCCGCCGCGAGGCTCGGATGTGGCTGCCGGGTCCCAACTCTAAGGACACCTTTTCTTAGAACTCCTGTTTTCCAGAAAAATGCAACGCTGCGCCCTCGCCACGCAGGTGCCCATGGGGATGGGACGCAGCTGCCCGACGAGCCCGTGCCCCAGCCCCGTGCCGCCGCGCCCGGAGGGACGGGATGTGCCCTGGCTGCGGGCCTGGCGCAGAGCCCAAGGCCCTAGCCCCGTGCAGATGCGGGGAGGCTTGGGGGCAGGCCCCACGGCTGCAGCGCTGGCTATCGCGTCAGCGCTGGTGGCTTCATGTGGCCCTGTCCCAGCGAACAAGCACCTGTGTGCCGCCCCGCTCTGCCCTCTGGCGGTGTGCGGCTCGGAGACCAACTGTCCTGGAGGAGGCCCTCAGCTTTTCTTTCTCACACCCCGTCACCCAGACTCAAACTCTTGGGCTCAAGTAGTCCTCCCGCTTCAGCCTCCTGAGTCTGAGGCCAGTGTGTGCCATGGGTCGCTTTAGTTTCTGTTTTACTGAAGACGGAATCCAGGCCTTCCCACTGAGCTGCAGCCCCAGACCTTTACAGGCTTTTGGGAAGTCGCCCAGGCTGGGCTCGAACTTGCAATCCTCATGCCTCAGCCTCTTTTTACGTAGTTTATGGGGAATAAGATGCCCCCCGCTGGAACATCCCTCCTGTTATTGGTCTTGATCTTTTTTTTTTTTTTTTTTGAATCAGGGTCTTGCTATGTAGCCCAGGCTGGTCTTGAACTCACAGCAATCCTCCTGCCTCAGCCTCCCTAGTTAGTGCTGGGATGACACGTGTGCCACCATGCCCGGCTTCCTATACATTATTTTTTAAGATGGAGTTTCCCTGTGTGACCCAGGCTGGCCTCCAAGTCTTGGGGTTGAGTGACCGTCCCGCCACACCCTCCCAAGTAGCTGGGACCCTGGCTCGTGACTCCTGTGTCTATAGCAGGGAAAACCAGAAGCCTTGTGGGTGGAAGACCAGGCTCCCAGATGTGAATTCACAGGTGAAGGGAGGAAGCGGGGAGAGACTGGACTTCCTGGGGCTCCCAAGACCTGCCCCTGGGCAAGGGGAGCGTTCCTGGAGAGGAGTCTGGGGGAGGGTGTCCCCAGAGGCTGGTGAGGAGCGCAGTGCTGGAGCCGGCTGAGGTGTGAGAAGAGATGGTCAGTGTGGGCCAGGGTGCCAGGGGAGCGAGGGAGGCCAAGCAGGACTGCTGCAGGAAGCGGGCCAGCACAGGGCTTCAAGTGGCGTGCACCTGTGATCCTGGCACTCAGGCGGCTAAGGCAGGAGGATCGCTGTGAGTTCAAGGCTGTGAGCTCAAAGTCAGTCCAGACTACACAGGGAGACTGACCCTGTCTCAAAAAAACGAAAAGGGGTGGGGGTGGGGGTGCGGCTCAGTGCAAGAGCCTGGGTTCAGTCCCCAGTACTGTAAAAAAAAAAAAAATTAGGGGCTGGGGGTTTAGCTCAGCGGCAAAGCGCCTGCCTGGCAAGCGCAAGGTCGTGAGTTCGGTTCCCGGTCCCGGAGAAAAACAAAAAAACAACAACAAAAAAAAAAATCAAAAAAAAAAAAAAAATTAGGCATTTAAAATGCATCTCTTGGCCGGGAGTGGTGGTGCACGCCTGTAATCCCAGCACTTGGGAGGCTGAGGCAGGAGGACCACTGTGAGTTAGAGACCAGCCTGGGCTACAAAGTGAGCTCAAGGATAACTTGAACTGCACAGCAAGACCCACAAAAAGACAAAAACAAAACAATAAAACGTGTCTCTTGTTTTTGCAACAGGGTCTCCAATCCGTGGGCTCCAGGGATCCTCCTGCCTCACCTCCCTGGTGGCTGGGGCTCAGGTTTCTGACCCAGAGATGTTTCAGTGTCCCTTTGCCTGGTCTACATTTGAGGGTGGTTTTTCTGTGTCTGACAGACAATCACTAAGGAGTCTTGAAGATCTGGTAGTAAATTTCTTTCCCGTGCGGCTCCTCTCCTCGGGGCACCTTCTCTTCCTGTGCAGTTCCGGCTGTCACCTCCTCCCACGGGGCCGCTGGTGGGGGCGGTGGCTCAGGAAGCCGCTCTGCGCCTGTGGCTGTTTCCGGTCCACATAGGACGTCTTGGAGGCCGGAGGCCTTGTTTCTTATCCTGCTGAGGAGGTGTGTCTGTCACATGGTCACACCTTGTCTCCTCGCCCTCTGCTGGCTCCTGCTGGAACTGCGCTCCACTGGCTGATCCCTATAATTCCAGCCTCCCTGTCCCAAACATCCAGGCTGCATTCGCAGCCACTTACAGCTTTCGATTTATCAGTTCTCTCTCCCAGCATACCTCAGACTTAACATTGGTAGTAGGCTGAATGGTGGCCCCCAAAAGATACATTCATAGCCTGCTACTAAGGAGGCTGAGGCAGGAGGATCTCAAATTGGAGCACGCAGAGGGACCCACAGGGCTGCCTATGCACCAGTCTCAGCCCTTTGTGCTGCAGAGCTTGATTCTGCTGGTTTAAGCTGAATGCCCAGCATGACGTACTTTGTTATAACAGCCAAGAGAAGAACTATAGTAGCGATTCCATTTTTTATGGTATTTCATGCTATTTATTTGTTTATTCATTCATTCATTTATTTATTTATTTGAGACAGGGTCTCACTGTGTAGCCCAGGCTGGCCTTGAACTCATGGTGCTGCTCCTGCCTCCGCCTCCCGAGTGCTGGCATTACAGGCAGGCACCGTCACAGCCAGCTTCTCATGCATTTTTAAAAAATAAGCCTTTTCTTTCAGAAGAGTTTGCAATCTGCAGGAAGGCTGCCGAGGCAGCAGGAGGCGCTCTGCACACCCCGCCCAGCCTCCCAGCCTCTGCCATGTTTCTGCGGACACCCAGGGACGGCACGGCAGGTGCGTTTTAGCAGTAAGTCCCACGCATTATTCGGCGTTCCGGTGTCCCCGCAGATGTCCTGTTCCTGGTCCAGAAGGCCACACTGCATTCAGCTGCCAAAACCCCTCAGTCTCTGCAAACCTGGGCCAGTTTCTTGGTGTTTTTTTACTCAACCTCTGGACAGCCTCTCCCTTTCTTTCACCCCTCCTTCCCTTCCTTCTTCCTTCCATCCATTTCTCTCTTTCTATTTTATTTTTCTCTTTTTTGTTCTTGGTTTTTTGAGACAGAGTCTCACTGTGTAGCCCAGGCTGGGCTTGAACTCCTGGAGACCCTCTTGCTTCAGCCTCCCAGGTGCTGGGATGACAGGCATGTGCCGCCGTGCCCGGCTCGCGTTTCTGTTTGTGCTGTTAAGGATGGAAGCTAAGCTTTCTATAACTGGCCGGCAGCCCAGCCCCCAGCCACAACAGTTCTAGGACGTCCTGGGCAGCTGTTTCATGGACCATGCCTCGGTTTTACCCCACCTTCTTTTATACCCAGCTGTGCTAACTCTGCCCACCCTCAGACAGATTCTGCAGGCGGTGCTTCTGGTCATCATGGCAGGGTGTTCCCGGCACTGTCACCTCTGTGGACATTCAAGCTGTGCAGTTCTCATGGAAACATCCTTGAGTGAGGCATGGGGTACCACCTGCCAGCACCTGTCCTGGCCCAACATCCTCCAGGGCAGAGTAGGCACAGGTAAGGCTGGGAGGCCTGGCTTGGGGCTCAGGTTCTGTTGTAGGAGAACCTTGCTGGGGTTTAGATTTGATCAACTGTATTCCCCTACCCCCTATGCTAGCTGCTGGAAGCCTCTGGAATCTTCCGGAAGGTCCCTTGTGAAGCTGCCCCAGTATACAGAGCACTGGACCCACAGGAAACATGGCGAGAGCCTGGCTCACCCCACACGAGACCCACAGCCCTATCTGCAGGTGTGCAGGCCCTGCCCTGGCCCCAGGGCCACAAGCAGCGTCTTGAGCCAAGAGTCTTAAGCTGTCTTTGATTCTTTTATTTCCGCTTCCCCCACATCCACAGCAAGACTGGGTGGTCCTGCTTTCTACACAGCCTTGCCCGCTGACCACGCGCTTGTGCTCACACGGCGGCGACAGCCTCGCTGGGGCCAGCTGGGGGCTGGCCAGGACGTCACCGTGGCCCAGTCCTGTCTGGGAGTCGCCCCGTCCCCACACGGTGTCCCGGACCCCTCTGAGGCCCTGGAACCCCTCATCTATAAGCCCCCCGTTTGGGGCTACCAAGATGCCTCTAGTCAGGCACGGGCCATACACCTATTAGCCAAGCACTCTGGGAGGCTGAGGCAGGAAGATCGCCGTTTGAGCCCAGCCTGGGCAATACTGTGACTTTGCAAGACCCTGTCTCCAAATAAAAAATTTTTAAAAGGGGCTAGGAGTATGGTTAGGGTAGAAGCCCTAAGTTCGATCCCCAATACCAAGAAAATTTCCCCCTCCAGCCACACAAGAGGGCCTGGCTGCCCAGCACTTCCAGAACCATCCACAGCCTGACACCTCAGCGGACGCCACTTGTCACCCAAGCCTGCCTCTCTACACGTGGGTCACCGGGCCGGGCCATGGGCGCCACCCGGCTCTCGCCTGCACTCCAGCAAGGCCGTCCAGGCCCCCTCTCCTCCCGCAGAGCTGCCGGCCCCCAGGGCTGGGACGCCTTGGCATGGCCCAAGTGCTCCTGTCACTCTGGCTTGGGTCGGGCCGTGGTCAGAGGTCACTGCCGGCCAAGCCATCGGTGAGTCCCGCAAGCCGCAGCTGCGCCCCGCGCCCCTCCCCAGCCAGCTCCGCCCGCAGGCATCGCAACACCACCGCGTCCTCAGCAGCCTCTGGAGAACGCAGGCTGGGGGACAGCGTCAGCACGGCCTCATCCGCTGCCCACACAGCCCGCCAGGACCGCTGTCGCTCAAGGAAGGAATTCGGGGCGCCGGGCCCCCGCACTCACTCAGCTTTGCTGGGCTTGGGGCTGTGGGCTTCGGCCCAGTCGTACTCCCGCAGGTCGCTCAGCTCGCGCATCTGGCCCGTCAGCACCTTGACAGCCAGGACCACGATGTACTGTGGGGGGAGGCGGTGTGACCACAGGCCCTTGGCAGGCGCCGCTCCGCTCCCGCCACCGAACCTGTGCCCGCACAGCTGCCCGAGGACACGGGCCGGCGGGGACCGCCTGCAGCACGCGGGGCGCCACTCACCAGGAACCAGTACAAGTTCATGGCGGTGAGCAGCAGCAGGAGCGTGTTGAAGAAGAAGTAGAACGGGATGTCAGGCACCGAGATGAGGCTGGTGTGCAGCGTGGCATACAGGACCTTGAGTGGGAACCAGTACAGCCGGAACCAGAACCTGCGGGACACTCGGGAGGCTGTAGGA